TTGGCGTTAATTAAAATATTCAACAATACACTCTTTAAGTGGATTGCTGGATTTTGTAAAAAGTTATCTGCGTCAAGTCTAACTTATTTCAGTTGCCAAGCAGCTTTCTTCGTAAGTTCTATTTCGGTTAAAGAGTAAGATAAAGCAATGCAATTACAAGATATAGGCATTACATTTTAATACCCCGGTGTGGCACCGTATGAGGGCTATTCTGGGCGTCACAGGATAACATGATGTCCGTAAAGCTATTCATGTACATAGGCGACGGTTACCACTTACCACCATGTGGAGTGACCACATGATGGTAAGTGGTTTACACATATCGTCAGTTTGTCATTTCAATAACACCATCGTTAACAAAACGTATTTGTCATTTTAATAACACCTTCATTAACAATACGTTACACCATCAACTACATTATCAATTGTAACATTTCTATTAACCTAATTTCCAATAATTATATAAATTAGATACTGTAAATCAACAGTTTCGACAAATCATATCTTTAAATATATACAATCTAAATGAGAACCTCTCCGTTTTGGCGGTCGTTTGTTATGCTAGTCGTTAATACTAATTCACTCAAATTCATCACCATTTCTGGCACGTTTGTTAAAAATAGCCGTGAGTTCATCATAACAACACGCAATTATCTACCGGCCTGACCTCATCCTGTTATCTTACATAAATTTACACCCGTTAGGCTGCTTTTAAAAACATTCTTCGGAGGCAAAGACATTTATGTGTATACATCTTAAAATTATAGTAGTTTTATTAATAGCCCGACAAGCCGAGACTCCGCGCTGTTGAATTTTACATTCGGAATTATATTATTTCATATTTATTTTAGTCGTTCTCATTCGTTTACTTTCGGGACTCGTACTAATGAGGAATAATTAGTTGTCTTCTAATTTTGTATTCTGTATATGTAATGTTTGTATGTATTCTAATTTAGTAGTTATTACCCGCGGGTATGTCTGTCTCACTCTTATTATTAGATACAAAACAACCTATATCCATCTTCGTGACCGGTAAGATTCGTTAAGTCGTTTAGATGGGAAAAGATAAATAGACAGACACACATCCGCGTTTATAATATTAGTATTGACTAGAGCCTCTCTATTCCCCCCATCGGTTTTGTGCGGGCGTGCACAATTATCATGGTGATCAAATTTTATTTAAATATGAATTATATTACCTTTATTCTATAGGGCAAAATACGCCTACCTTTTCCTTATCTTTACTTTCTCTATCCACCCAAAGGTAGTCTGGAAGCAATTGATTAGCGATAAGACCGTTTTTTGTATTAGTTGATGTTTATTTATTAAGCTGTGCCCGCGATTTCGTTCGCGTGGTTAACCCAACGGAAGCCCTCAAATATGAATAATTTCCCCCGTTTTTTTGCAACATGTTTCACTTATACTTCGCTGCTATTGGTCGTAGCGCAATGTTATATATCTTAAAGCGTTCCTCGACAAATGGACTATCCAACACAAAAACAATTTTTCAATTCGAACCACCTGAGATTAGCGCGTTCAAACAAACAAACTCTTCAGCTTTATAATATAAAAAAAAAATAATAATAAAGTATAGATTTTAATTATTTTCTGTATTTAATGCAACAAAGAATGTCAAATGTTTATCGTTTATAACAAATCTTTACATCTGTACATAAAACTAGAAATGATTTACCAATTCAGGTTTCAGATTACGGCCGACATTTTGTTTCGTCCATTGTACGCGTAATATTGCATTACATAACATTGCACGAAAGCCAATTATACGAAAATTTATTTGTTGATTAAAGTGTTAAGAAATTGTTATACAAGAAATACGTTGCAACTTGTAAGTGTAATATCATGTTATGTAAGTGCTTACTTGTGAATAATATTTGATCTCAGCCGCCCAGTTTCCGAAAAGAATCGTTTGGACTAGGTCGGACTTCCGTTCTACAATATAATCATATGACAAATTGCACACAACTCTTGGATTGAAGAACTTTCTAGTATTTACTTTAAACTTATTAGTTACTAGTTGTTTTTCTTTAAATACTAGGTGCACCCGCGACTTCGTTCGCGTGGAATTTAAGTTTATTTTTCTAAAACAAAAGTAACCTAAGTTACTCCTTATTACATCAGCTACCTGCCAAAAGATGTCCATATTTCACCATGATGAATTAATTTACCTGAATTCATGCTCATTTTATTATGCTCCACTGGTGCCCCGCCAGCGCAATCATTTAGTGCAGACGGGTGCATCATTCCATTATCACCCAAAAAAATTCTGGCAATATCAACATTATATGCGAATAATAGGTAAAATTAGTATAAATGTCACGAATATTTTGACAATTTAGCCTTGGCGCGCTTTAGTATAAAAAATAAGAGAAGGATATAGGCTACTTTCTATTTCGGTCAATCAATATGTTACAGTCACGCAGACGAAGCCGCGGGCGCTCGTTATTTGTACTCTGAAGACGCTAACCTTAGACCAAGCTGGCTTTTACGTGCGGCCTATTGATCTAAAAACGTGTTCAAACATCGTGATAGAGTTATCGTTCGACAAGTGTATACAAACAACATTTTTAACACCCTTTATAATTCATTTAGTATTAATAAACCAATGTTTGCACAAAGAAAAAGAAGTACTTTCTAAAGTGATTCTTTTTTCTTCATATCGATCTGAATGTTAATAGTAATAATAATAATAATCTCAGGACAATTCGCACAGCGCCATCTAGACTCAAGTTAAGCTAGCTAAAGCTTGTGTTATGGGTACTAGATAACTGATATAAATACATAGATTTTTTTTGTATATACATATATATTATACATAGAAAACACCCAGACCAATACAAACAATCATACTCGTGAATACAAATGTTTGTGCCGTGCGAGGAATCGAACCCGTGACCATCGGACGTAAAGCAGTGTGCTAGACCGCTACACCACCGAGGTCGTAATGTTTATCTGTCGTCAGTAACATTGGCAATGAGTAAACGTTTTTTATATGGATAATGATGATGAATCCGCTAACTGTGGCGGACCATCAAGAGAGGATGATAGAATGAGCAATCAGGACAGCTAGCCATCATAAATACGAGCAGGGACCTCGTGGAGGTCAATCTAACAGTGTAAAATACATTACTAGCAATGGGATCAATAGGGGGAAGGGAATTGTTAGTATGTGAACTGATGACCCCATTACTAGCAATATACCATGTCAAGTTGACCTCCAAGCGGGTCCCCTGGTAACCATAGTTATAAATTTCTAGCGAATTTACGACGATGGGCTAACTGACCTGTGTGTGTATGTTCATCTTATAATCCTCCACTGGTGTGCTGTTTGCTTATATCTTTAGCACAGACAAGTACACCATTATATTCTCATCCATATATAAAATCGGGTCAGTAATCGCTATTGCCAACAATCCCATCCTTCCTTATCCACTGTTAGGTAGTGCAGTAAAGTATATAAGTACTGCGAGATTAGGTTTCTTTCTTAATGATAATGAAATCGTGATAGCTAAATAGGAAATCGGGTCACTTAGCCCATCATGACGAAATCACCGGGAATTTACTATGACGGCTGTTAGAAGGGCCGCGTGGCGTTTTACTTGAGGGTACATTGCTAGCAATGGGGTCAATAGCCCCAATACTAAGAATCCCCGCCCGCAACTGGAAGATTAGCTTACGTCAGTCACTTGCATAGTTTAGTCACGACTGAAATAAGTAAATAATAACGAAGATATGAATACCTATGGCGCGTCAAGACTTAGGAGTAAGTTAGTTGGCTAAACGTTTGTTCGTGTATGGGATTCTCAGTATAAAGTTAGTCATATATGTCTAATTAAATAATATTAACAATTTGGCTTTAGACTTTATAACAGAAGATACATTTCAGCAGTAAATTAAACACATGTAATCTATAAATATGTATTTTTCTATTGATCAGTTCGAGGAATTAAGCTAACATCACCGATCATGCCTTTTGTACCTTTTACTCTCTTAAAAGTATTTCCGTACCAATATGATATTGAACCCTTCAAGAAAAAAAAAGATTCCTTCTTATAGGCCCGCAACGTACTTGCAATTTCCCTTATGTTACGGGTGCTGAACTTATCATCTGGTGAACCCCAAGCCCGTTTGTCCCCCATGTTATATAAAAAAAAATCTTCTAATATTGTAAATAAAAAGTTACTGAATAAACAAATTAATGAACTAAAATGCGAGCATTGACAAAGTCGACCTCATTCGGTGCCGCATGGCTTGCACAAAGCACACCATGTCTGTACCACGCCACGTTCTGTAAGGATAGACATGCTCGTAAACACATTTGCCAGATGTGTTATTTGTGTGTACTTTTTGCATTTATATGTACGTAGGTAGGTACGTACATTGTATCGTATTATAATGCCCGTGATGGCGATAGTATGTAACAGTTTTCAGATTGACGCTTACCTTTTTTCATTATTAAGGTTTTATTGACAAAAACTACTTCTCAATTTGACCACAGACTTTAACAATTAACAATAGAGTACTCTTTTATTTATTGTTTGTGTGTGCGTGTGTCAATTACTTGGCAGTGTTTGTAATGTTTTTTTTTATTAATGAATCGTATATTGTATGCGTAATTAAAAAAAAACATTATCATACAGCTCTATACAAATTATAAGTGTGCGAAATATTAATTTATGATATTACATTCTTTGGGGGATAGTTTACTTGGCGTTCTTTAGTATATTTGTTGAGTCTAATATTGCAAAATATTCTGTGAGCATATAGTAATTTCCCCAGCCATTTTTATGTTACACCTTAGCACATGAACATACAGTTTTCATTTCATGTCCATATATATTATACGTAAACATTAGTGTATTAAAGTTTCAATTGAAGTTAATTCATGCATAGTTTTATATTGAGGTATATTTTTCTGGCAACCGTAGTTAAGCTTATACTAAAACACAAGTAATAATATTATTCTCGTTTTTTGTCCACAGTTGTTGGGTCTGGCCATCATCGGCGTGGGTGTAGCATTCCTGCTTAACTGGAGTGCGGTGAAAGATGAGCTCAAGGGCCACTTGACTGTTGCCCCGTGGGTGTTTATCATTATTGGCGCCGTGATGTTCGTGATCGCCTTCTTCGGATGTTGCGGTGCTATTAGAGAAAGCCACTGCATGGTCGTGACGGTGTGTACTCTATTTGTATTTACACTTATTCATAAAGGGAATTTTATGAAATATTCAAATAAGCATTCAAATAAAAAAATATATAGAATATACTTTTATTTGCTTTATACCGTTATACCGTAAAGATAATAGGTATTATTAAATATATTATTGTAGTCTTTACTATAATTAATCTATGATGTTTAAAACGTAGATACTCGGTGCATTTTATAGAAGCGGAGTCTGTATTTTAAAATGGCGGGAACACCCAAATTAAATGTGTAGCGCGATTTAAAAGTAGAATAGGCTGTATGGTCTAAGGTTCTTTGCCTGTTCCATCATTAAAAAGGAGATGGACGAGTATAGAAAAAAAAGTGAAGCACGCCTTCTATTTAAATACAGTACAATCATAATATAATATTGAACTAGTTGTTGCTAGTGTTATTAGTGAACTTTCAACACGAACTCAAGCATTGAAAATGCTTCTGCTTAGGTAGGATTTTTTAATAGGTATATTGTAAATTGTAATCTTAAAGCAAACAGTCACTGCTCTACCATATAGATAGGTGAGACTCTGAGGTAGTAGTCTCTTTACAGACCTTTACAAAGTTATTTATTTAAAAAGATAATTCCGATTCTCTTCAGTTCGATTATTTATCTGCTAATAAAGTTCTTTGATTCGCCTAATTAATTAGCTATTATTAGCGATACTGTTAGAATATCATGTTGTGAAGCAAACAAGAAGAAAGATGTTAACACTATCTATCACTCATATTTAAAATCATTGTTCGAAAACAATTGTCAATGTTATTTATAACAACTTTCTATGGTTATTTATAAATTTTAACGATATTGGTTTTGTTTTGCGGAAGTTCATTTCGTTATTTAATGCATTTATATTATTTTGTTTAATTCCGCTACGATTAGTATGTGTGAGTCACAAATATTCAGCGCGGAAACCTAGCCATTGCTACTGGAAGCGTTAAGACATTCTCTATTGGTGATCACATTCAGACTGTTATTGAATTCATACGCGCATATTGCGACGCGTATTTCATCTTTAAAGAGGTATCAGCAGGCTATGAATAGAGCTCGGATATAGCTTGAAAGCATAGAAGAAGAAGCTATTGCTGACTGTTCGACACAGTACGGAGTTACGGAGTTTAGTCACCGAACTCCATTAAGTAACCTCCCTTGTTTTCATTGCGATAAGACATACCTTAATCCGGGATTAAATCAATGTTCATGTATATCATATAGGTTCGTTACGCCTTTTAGTTGCCAACAGCTAACAAACAGAACCTACGCTTTTTTTTAAGTGATTGGTATGGTAAACAAATAAAGAAGCTGACGAAGCTCACTTTATGGTAAGTGGTAACCGTCGCCTATATACTTGAACAGATCTGCGGATATCAAGTTATCAACTTATCACATAACATCCGTGCGTTTTCGTTCTAGAGGACTAAGTTGTTATGCCTCTTATCCTGTAATTTTACTAAACTTTTGGCGGCTGACTTTTATAATAGTGGTATCATTTGTTTATTCACAGTATGCCATCTTCCTGTTGGTGATCATAATTTTGCAAGTTGTCCTGGCGATTCTACTCTTCACATACGGTAACACCATCAAAGATGGACTTGTTCTCAGTGTTCAGAAGCTTTGGGAAAAGCGCGCCCACGACCCAGCGTCCGATGAGGTCTTCAAAAATATTGAGGAACAGGTAAAATATTTACCACGTCCAATCATGCCATTTTTCTCCAGTCAATTTGGGAGTAGCGCATATTTGGGGGAATTTATGTGGAAAAACATAATTTTGGGGGTTGTGACAAATTTTGTGTACCGTTAATATAGACCTAAAATGAGTCATCAAAATCGTAGAATTATTATAGAAAAAAATATATCAGTGAGTTTGGTTGGTGTATAAAACACGGCTTCAAAAATGTCAGCAGAACCCACGGAAGTAAAAAAAGACGAGAAGGTTGGAAGAATATTATTCTAAACACTAGGGGATTACAGAACTTGGGGGTAAAGTAAGACAGCCACCTCACAACACTGACCACGATATGTAAAACTGAAAATCTCTAGTAAAAAATATCTAGTAATATTCTGTGATTTCTTTTTATGAAATTGGAGAATTTCAATGAGTGAGAGAGGAACTCAAACTAGGTTTCCCTGTACTCTCTAGATATCCTCTTCTCATTAAAATGTCATACCATTTGACGAAGCATGTGCACGACGCACTTCTATGTATTATTATTATTGCATTTCTTTTATATATATTTTAAGAACTGTCCTTAAGAAATATTGTCTAAAATATTTTCTAAGAACTTTATATTATATTAATATTATGTAAAGAAAACGATGGACGCTGACGGTGAAGATTGCCAAAGTGACTATAATATAGAACAATAGAAAAACAGGTTTTAAAATACAATACTAATTTATAGGACACAGCTACTTAGTAATAACACTGAAACTTAATGCACATTTTCCATGCTTTAACTTCGTTTGTTTCTAGTTGCAATGCTGTGGAAAGGACGGCAGTGGCGACTACCACTCGGTCTCCCTTCCTCCATCATGCTGCAAGAAGGATACATTCATTTCCAACACTCTCGGATGCACGGTTACTAATGCGGAAGTAGGCTGCACGTCCAAAGTGGCAGAATTGTACGAGAAATGGAACAAGCCCATCGCTGGTTTTGCTATAGGTGTAGCTTGCGTTGAGGTACGTAACAATTGTTTACTTCTCCGCGTTTCCACTAGAATACTGTCTCCAAAATATGTATTTGCGTCATGTATATTAACGTTATTTACACTAACACACAAAGATTATACATGTATCAAGTTATATCTTAAAATTATATATACATAATTTATGCAGAAGCGCTATAAGACGATTTTTTTAATTAATATTAGAAATGCCTAAGTTGGTAAATATAGATGTTTGTTACTCTTTCACGCACAAACTACTGAACGGATTTTGTATACACATAGGCTATATTTTTTATTGAAATTTAACACAGGTGAAACCGCAGGTGAAACCGCAGGTGAAACCGCAGCAATCTATATATGTTCTATGGTATATTTAGCCATAACAAAAATTGAAGCCCAAAATAATAGGATTACGAAATTCAACTTACCGTCATCGAAGTGTAGATTAAATTAGATTTTCATTTACAATTATTTTCTTACAAATAGAGTGTAGTGTTTACGATCCATATTTAATCTTGATAAAAGTTTTTTAATCTATGATCATGGAGTATACTGTATGTGGTAACGGTGTACATTAGTTTGACAACAGTGGAAGATCACACATATATCAATTTATCTATTATATATAACAATTGATTCCACATTCCATGTATCGCGATAAAGTTGCACAGATTAAAACAAACGTTATTTCGTTCTGTGTCAAGTCCGTTTTAAACTTAGTATTTATACAATGTATCCTCCACCGAGTAAATAATCACTTTATCCTTTCCACTTCTCGTTTTTGATTAGGGGTAATACAAAAATTACGTAACCCGAATTTCGTGATTTTTGGTTTATCTTGGGGCTTAGTTCATCCTTTACTGTCTAAAGAAATGTTATATTTTTTTTTTATTTACAGGTGGTTGGGGCCCTGTTTGCGCTGTGCCTCGCCAATTCTATAAGAAACATGGACAGAAGGTCACGCTACTAATATTTTGTACATTAAAACTGGTACCTATGAACACAATTTTTTTGTTCTTCTTACTTACCGACTAATCTACGAGGCTATGTTTTAATGCATGGCTGGTTGTATCTTTTTGGTTGTTTATTACAGAAATTACACTCGCTTATGAAATGTCGTGATCGAATCGTAACATAAAATTATGAAAACAAATCAACAAACTTTGCACATTTAATTCTATGGTCTGTTTACTATAGACGCGACCATTTCACAAAATGACCGACTATTGCATAAAAACTATTTTATCACGACATAAACACAATATTTCACACCTTTATGAATAAACATTTTTAACATACAATTTCAAAAAGCCAGTATATGCGAATAATTTTTACTAGTTATATAATTTATTATTATGTATGTTTTTTATAAGGGTGCGATATATCCGAGTACAAAATTAATACCTCAACGTACCAAAATGATTAAACTCATAATTGTATGAGTAAAATTCTGGGTTACGCCAAATGTTAGTCGTCTAGTCGTATATGGACGAGTGGGATGGACACCGACCTAGATTATTATACTTACAGCTTTCTTTGTACTAGTTATATTTACATGATGGATATAGCCTTGTTTATAATGTGGTAAGCATTCCAAGAGGCATACAAGCAGGGCCGGATTAATCATGACGAGTGTCTTAGGCAATGGAACTTTTGAATCTCCTAAACTCCATCCCTGTTAAAAAAACATTGAATAGAGGCCGCTGAATTGTATTTAATATTTTCAGAATTTTTTAAACAAAACTTTTCAGCAGTGGACTTCATAAGTTCTTTTAAATTGAAGAATTCTTTTAGATGAAGAGGTGTGAGTAAAAGTCAAAAGTTATATTTACTCTAAAATACACTATGTAACCTAGAGGTTGGGATAATTGTGGTTAGGATAACAAAAACTTAGTACGATACACATTTACTCATGTTATAACATCTACTTTACTCGATACTATATGATCCTTTTCTGTAAGTATTTCATCAACTGACAGCATACGTAGAAAAACAATATTACAATATCTATTGTTCATTGAACTATTAATTTCACAGACGGTACTAATTTCATAAATCAGTTTTACTCTATATCTGTCGTTCACAGTATGTCTGTACTTTTGTACGCACGCGGGCCCCTACACTCATTCTGCCTAATGGTCAATCCGGACCTGAATACAAACAACGCTTTGTGTATTTTAAAATAAAACAAGCTCTGTTCGTTATGATTGTAATGCAATTTCTACATTGTGAAATATAAGCAGCCTATGCTATTCTTGCTATGACGGAATACTAAGAAATATACTAATTTCTAGTTTAATTTTTCTTAGAATAATTAACACAGTAGAATGTTTGCGCTACAATATGATGAAGATATGTTTATTTTTCTTCTTAACTGTTTGTAGTGTGTTATCTGTTTACAGTCACACTTAACAGCTGTCACTTATATTCTATTACACTTATTATTACATTTATTTTCATACCGAACGGAGCTTGTGTGCATATTGTATGTAAAAACCATTGAGGTATTAGATACATGACATATTGAATCGTTTATTATCATATTCCGTAGTGCAATGATCTATAAACGTTATTAGCCCAATTATATTGAATCAAAAATAAGATTTTGTACAACTATTACAAAACTATATAATATAACAAAAAAATCTGTGTAAGAAATAATTATGTAAATAGACACAATTTTAATTGGTCTGTATTGTAAAAAAAGAGAGAAATTAAAATTGTATTAATTTACATAATTATTTCTTACATAGATTTTTTGTTATAATATGTTGTTTTAAAATAGTTATACAAAATATCCAGAAGTGTACTACCAACTCAGATTGGGTTATATAATATACTAGCGTTAGAGGATTTAGGACGATTACACTGTAATCGCTACTGTATCAGTTAATTGCAGTACTTGTGCTACAATTCACTCAAGTGACTCAGCGTAGTTATGTATTTTAATTACGAAATCTAGTATGCGCATTATACACAGTATTAATATACTCTACAAATGTATAATGAAATAAATACAAGCGACTGGAATGGAATAACTTCATCCTTTATGTGTATTCTTTATTACATTAAAAATAGAGTAATATTAATTGGAAAAAAGAAAATGTGAACTCATTTCTAAAATAGATCTCTTCCAGTCACCCTAAAACAAAATTGCCTAGGAAGTAAACTTGTATGTTGTTCGTATAATGTCTTTTTTGTTACATTAATTATCTAATACCTCAATGGATAATATGCTTAATTAAAATAAATGTTAAAGGTGTGTGCTTTTATTGTTGCTGGGGGTTAGTTTCACGAAATCACCCTGACACGCAAATGCATTTTGAAAATTCTTTACAAAGAAGCTTATTGCATGTAATGGTATTTTTAGATACAACAAGCAGAGTTGTTTCGTGGTAAGGACCCCTACTTAAGAGTCCGTTCTTGCTAATAATTTTAAATGTAAAGACTTTTGATAGGAAATAGAGTTTCCCACAATAGGATTTATAATTATTAAACTACCCGTATGTAGATTTTTCGGCTTTTATTACTCGTTGATGATGTAGCTATGAAATGGTGAAATATTATAAAAATCTATCGAGTAATTTTTAAATTGCAAACAAACATGCGTAACAAATAAAGTTTTTACTGTGTTTACTATTAGTATACTTTACACCAAAGTTATATGTACATGTTATTTTTACATTGCATAAGAATATTTTCATTTTATATACATTTACATAATTACGAATTGTGTGTGCAAATAGGGTACAAGGAAATAGTGATTGTAGTTTGGCCATTTTTAGCAAGGAGGGTTTTTAACACTAACATTTATTAAATGTTAAAAAAAATGCTTTTATATTTAATGCTTTACTAACATATTATAATAAATTAACAATGTAATTATTGATAATTTGAGTGTTTACGATTGTTTTGTATATCGATTCATATTTTTGTATCTGATAAAAGATCTGTCCAAATTAGGAATTGAATAACAAGTTTAAATGGTAATAATTAACTCAATACGTCAAGAATGATAATTATTTTTTTAATTGTACTTGTCTTTTTTTTCATATAACTATTTGATAATATATAAACAATATAAATTACAGCCTTAAACGAACGAAGTAGATGTATTCTGTGTTAGTTTTAGAAAATATTTGATACTTTAAATATATTTAAACATTATAATATTATAAAGAATCTCTAGTTAGACTAATATTTAAATAGTCGTGGCTTATAACTGTACTGTCCGATGCATTTTCTAATACCGAGTTAACTCATTATAAAACCTATATTTAGGTGTAAGAAGTTAAATATAGACTTCGAATAAATTTGCTTGCAAAGTCTTGCTTTGAAATAGTCACGACTATATTTTGAAGTATATTTTATATAAATATCTCTTTTTGCTATTGTACTTTATATATGTTATAGTAATTTGGTAGATTACATAGGTATATTTATTGATCTGATTATAATATATATAGGTACTTTTGAGAACAGTATACTTAATATTGATGATTTATAAAGAGAAAAATGGATATTTTGTCTAAAATCGATTGCCTTATTGTTAAACGTGTGACAATATTGGAAATTCTAATTTTGTAAATTTTATATTGATGAAAGTAATTCCAAATTTTCATGTGCCAAAATGTTCAGCTACGCTCACATAAGGCATTTAAAAAGTTTGTCTGTACTGTCTTAAGTAATTTATAAACTCAGTTAATTTGTATCAAATAAATATGTGTATAAAAACGTTGTTTTTTTTATACACACCCGTTAGCTTTTCACCTTGACTAGCGTTTCGCCATATTTTCTTAACTTTGTCACTAAACTTCTATATACGATGTTGATACAATCTATAGACTACAAATAGTGAATTGGGGTTTAATTATGTAATACTGTTGCTAACAATTCACATGTGAAGTAGGTTAAAATCTACAATTTCGCTATTATGTACGGAACTCGCATCTGCAACACTGAATTGTTTCAAAGAAACTTCAATAGGGGTCAGAATTTCTTAATCTCATTACATTGAAAATTGTTAGTAACAACGTTATATAATTAAGGAACTGAAAGTAGTTAATATAGTGGAAATAATTGGTTATACTAACAAGAAATATGCACTTCTCACAAGCAATGCACGGCATGAACATGAAGTATGTTACGTTTTGTAAATAAACACGAAACTAATAACAAATTTATTGATAACAGCTACTGTAAACAAATTTATAGGATGTATCACCTATTTCACCTATTGAATTAGTAAATAAAATCATAGTATACTAAAAATCACAGTACATCACCGTTAATGGTTACTTTTTTAAATGAGGAACAGTAATCCAAATTATATTTTAACAAAATTCAAAGCACAATGTTATTTCAGTATTCAAGGGAAGTCAAATCAGTAGTATATAGTAAATATATCACCTCAGGTATTACTCCTACTGATTTAAGTTCCCTTGTTCATTTGGAATACGAATTTATCTTTCTAATCGTTTCTTTATATTATCTGTGGACGCCAATAATCTAAAGCCGGAGTAGACAGTGTAAAAAAAATAAACCGTCACTAATGTTATCTAAGATCTAGTATTCAGAAGCATTGTCAACTGTCAATGTCGTGGTAAACACTTGACATGACCACATTTTCTAGGTATATTCAAATGAATCCAACATGATAAGGGGCAAGCCTACCGCCGGCTTCCGATTAAAGAAATATTTGAAATATCAGAAATGCAGCAGATATGAGAGTAAACACCGATTATCGTTGAAATCCGTTCACATTTGACGAATATGTAAAGTTATTTAAAAAATACGCGCCGTTTGAGGATATTCTTCTTTTTTTAAGTAATATAAAAGCCCGAAATGTCTACTTAAAATCACTTTGAGTCAATTTAACAATAAATTCAACAGAGTCGTTAGTTTTTACTTCTTATTGTGTGAATTATATTTTCTCATTCTTTAACTAACATTTTAAATTGTCGTGAAATGGCTGCATGTGATTTGTAAATAATTGTATGGGTTTTGTTATTAGGAGTTTTTAATTTTCCTTTTTTCCGTGATTATTCTAAATGGTACCAGTGTAGAAATTTCATTTGATATAATTTCAATATATCACTTATATCTAAATATTCATTTAAAAATTGCTAATTTCAGGTACGCATAAACTGACGTCTATGCATCACTCGAATGAACACTACAAACATACAAACGAAGATATATAATTATGTACAATGTCTCTTTAATACCTACCGAGTAACTCGAGATGATCAGAAATACAATTTCTGTGGTAATACCCCACCTTTCGATGTTAAGTTTCAATAATGTAATCAAAAATTATCTGACTAAATCATTACATAATGTTATTGTATAATAATGTTATATAATTGCTATTGTATACCTACTTATAAAGCAAAAAAATCTCAACTAATTACAGTAAAAAATGGCAAAAATTTAAGAGATATTCACTATAAATTCATGTTTATAAATAATCACGTTTATTTATATTGTATATCAATAAATTAGTGATGTTTTTAAGCATGTCTGAAACACGTGCCAATAAGAAAAACATCTGACAAAGAAAGTGTGCATATTAATTAATATAATTAAAATATGAAACTTGCAACATATGTATAGCGTTTCGTACCAATATACTTACACAAAGGATCTTTGAAACTCTACTATTCTTGTATTCTTATAATCTATATGTATTTTCATATAAGTATTTAAGTGTAGTTTAAAATTTATTGTGTAATATTAATTATATATTGTACAGTAAAGGTTTCTAAACTGCGTCTACGAGCATTTATTGGAAGGAAATAATTATGCAATTTTTGCTTCAGGGAAACCCGCATAAATTTTTATTTTGCATTTTATTTATATAAAATAAACAAATGTTAAATATATACAAAAAAATATACAGAGAATAAAAATTAAAAAATAGTTTTTGATATGAAAGTAAAGATTAAAATTAATTCATTAATTTAACCAAACAGGATGCGTCAGTGCTGTTATCAATTATTGTCTTTTTGAAAGTCTATATTTTGTCTCTTGGCGAATCCTGTCTAATGTCGTAAACACATGGCCAAGATACGCCGACGAGTTTACGAATTTTTATATTGGTTGCTTTTTCGCAAACAAACTTCGTAAACGCGTTGTTGAATACTTTTGAATAATCTATAGCTTCTAAGAGTTCTTTATGTTCTGTTTGGACTTTCTTTATTAATAAGTAGGTACCTATATTATATGCTACCTGTCCATTTTTTATAGATAAGTCTAATGTATACGTAAAGTTTTAGTTGTTGACACCTATGAAATTATGTTATAATCCAATCCCCTTTTACGAGATCTAAAAACGAAATTGTCGAATCGATCATTACGTGCCTTTTGAGCGGTGTTGCCCGTTAATACTCCCATCATATTTATCCACTTGTATCAAATTAATGTTGATATAATATGTGGACGTGAAAAGACCATAATTTGTATGTACCTAATAAAAATCAAATAGCTTAGTATTATTTTATTAGACTAATAGAATTTAATTTTCAATTCAATTTAGATAGTAATCCACTCTTTTGTTACAATTTATGAATAAAAAATAAATGTTTTAGATATTAAGTTAGTTAAGAAATGTTTATAATATTACGAAACAAAAATCTAAAGTATTTTCATAATTCAAATGTTGTATAACTATATACGTCCATTTTACAAATTATATTCAACTATAAAAAAATGTAAGTGCATTTCTATTATATGTGATTTATTGTAGCGTTTCTCATGCATTATGTAAATAGTAATCAATAATGATTTAGCATATGTTTATGGGGAACAAATGTCTGTTTAATTGTTTTGAATCTCTAGTTTTCCGATTGAATTGCTTCACATGTGAATGGTCTTTATGTCGAATAAAACATTTTCTATAATAATGTCCTCATTTTATTTCAATACAAATATTAACTGTGTGGGTATCTTGTTCTCACTAATTTTAGTCGCCAAGCGGCTTGCTGTTTTGGTTGAAGGCTGAGGCATACAAGGCAGTTAGATAAAAGTATAAGAGACGCTATATCTTAGTTCTCTGAAATAGGAACGCATGAGCGGTATCACTGGCGTTCAATGATACAGGGATGTTGGTATTGACACTACACTAATGCTGCTGCTAAGAGGTTTGCCATTGATCATCAGGCGGACCATCGGCGTATTTGCCGTTCCAACTACATTAAAATAAAATTGTAAAATAATTATAGCTTTACCTGTATCTCAGTTCTCTCGTATTTATAATACCACAGTTTGTGGTTCTTGCAGATTTAGTCGCTGTCCATCGTCGTTTTTCTCTGCTAGCTTAAAATTTAATGAAACATTTAAAGTGCAACTGGTTGTTAGTTTTATCAGAGGAAGACTTTGTAAAAAGTCTTACATAATTCAGCCAACAATAAATTGCTCTGCCGAAGCCGTGAGTTATGGCAGTAAAAGTAAATGATTTGGAGAATTCATTCTTTACCATAGTCCTCAGAAACAGCAACGTATGGGAGTGCATGTTTATAAAGAGAAGTAATATAGGTATATATTGTTTCGTATGGTAATGGTATGATGCACCCGCCTGCACCAGCAGTTTACGTTAGCGAGACACCAGTGGAAAATTATGGACTGATGATGTAGTCAGGTCAGTTTGCCCATCGTGTTTAATTATTACTGAATTAACCACGTTGGTCCAATGAGAACCGCGCGGAGGTGGACCTGATAGACATCGCCTGTAATAAGGCAATAGTTTATATTAATAAGAATCTTTTCCCTTCAAGGTAGGCACATTTGCTCGCGTATGTGAATTATTCTATAGCTCCTGGCTTTGGCAGTCAAGTGTATTTGGTTGCGAGGACGTGCAGGCGTTGGAACGGTAGGTATTAACTGTAGGGGTACAAATATATTGCATTCTCGATATACAAATACAAATGTGTTTCAATTGTTTTCTGTAGTTTTCCAAATTCCTGCTGGCTAGGTCATAAACTGTAATTTTTGCGACAGTTCTTATATCGAAATGAATCGTTAACAGTTAATCAATTAATTATTTTTTTAGAAACAATCTTCCTACAGTATAATTTTACATGTTACTGAATTGTCGTATACCAAATACAATAATCCGAAGTAATATACGTTATAGTGTTATAGTTAAACAATACAGATAAACAGACTAATTTATCTACAAGTAATGATGTCTTAATAGACAATATTATATAGATAAAGCAACTATGTACCATAAAAGAATTGGTTACACATGCGTTTCATAAATGTGGTAGTATTGGGTCGATATCAAGTAACTATCAAATAACTAAAATAAGCGGCAGAATAACAAATGCCCACATCGCATAAAAATTCCACATTCGCATTCTGCGCTTATTTTAGTTCTTTGATCACATCACTTACATTATTAAAACTGGTTTAATTCGGATTTTGTTTACCTATATATGTTTATCATGCCTCAGAATTTCAGCTGTTGATATCAATCCATATAGGTAAATAATAAAAATGTCATTAAGTTTACAAAACTACAGGCAAACTTGCTTCCATCTATTCCTTACCGCGCATTGTTTTTTACTAGGTAACAGTGTTCTACCTTAAGTCATTGTTAGGTTGTTTTTATACGCACCATACACACCTTGGTTTGTGTGAATGATTTGAAGTGGATCAAATGTACATAATAGGAAAAGTCTCAATATCAATCAATCGGTATGTATGATTAAACCGTTACGGCAACATTACATAATCATTGTTATTTATATTTTACAAAGTAAATAAGAAAGAAAATATGATTTTATAAGTAGATATTTTAGTTTTTTTTTGTACGATGGTGGTAAACGCTGGTTTAATATACTAGTGATGTAGTCTTCGTTTACATTAGAATACCGTGGCGCCATCTTCGCCTGCTATACAAAAGCTTATGTATTATTTTTTTAAATATATTTCTTATATGTTAAATAAAACGACATAGAAATACACAAACTATACAAGATCATAATGTAGAGATATTAAGTATATTGGAATAATTATAATTATATACATATATTTATTTTTATTTTTCGGGGTATGCCATCATGTCATCTGCACACTTTTCGGACTGTAAATAATATAAACGCTCTGAATAAGGAACAATAAACCACTACGTTAACCGAGGTTCATTTTGTTACGACAATGTTAAATATCGGTTCATTAAACAGAAATAATTTGGGAAGCAATAATTGAATATTCCGGGGAAGGGGATTTTTAGTAATGGGGACTGGTGACCCCATTACTAATAATGACAGCTCGACCTCCACGTGATTCTCCTGGACTTTCTCGTGATAAATCCTTGGTGCCTTTATCACGATGGGCTTATTGATCATTCTATTAATTATCATTAAAAAAAAAAGAATATTTCAGTATTGTTGTAAAACATTGACGTTTATTCTCAATTTTGACATAAATGACATTAGAGTTTGACTTGACAGTGACATTTAGACATAAACATCAAAAATTTGTTTTACCGTGGTTGGTTACCAATTTTAATGTGTGACATGTTTCACGTCCGTACCGTGGCTTTTATAAAATTTACGCGTATTCTTCCGATATTGTACTTTCACTTTGTTGTGCACAGTCGTTGGTATATATTAACTAAATGTGTGGTGTGAGAGCTCTACGTAATCTTGTAGTTCTTTTAATTAATACTGGATGCAATGCGTACAAATGTTAATAGTACGGAAATGGCTTATAAACAATATTGTGTTGTGTTTATAATTTTTGCTCTAGCGATAGTTCAGGCCGTGGGTTACGACACGGAGTTGTATCAAGCGAAACCTTGCGATAGCAATGTATGCTTCGAAGCGCTTCACGGAGCCCTAGGCGACTGTTCTTGCAATATAGACACGATTGATTATTTCAACAACGTTAAGATCTTTCCACGCATCCAGAGTCTAGTGAGTAAAGATTATTTCCGCTTCTATAAAGTCAACTTGAAGAAGGATTGTCCATTTTGGGCGGACGACAGTAGATGTGCTATGAAATATTGTCATATAAAAAAATGTTCTAAAGAAAGCGTACCTGGATACGCGAATGGCTATGATAACGATCATATTGACGAGACTCCAGCGATGAAGTACACAAAAGAAGCTCAGTCTGACTGTAGCTCTGATACTGACCATGATCCTGATTTGAGTTATCTCAATATGACAATTAGTGCGGCCAGTCAATACGAAATTGCTAAGTGGAAAGCCTATGATGATGCTCTTGAAAATTTTTGTGAAAGTGATGACAGAAATGCTTATGCTGAATATGTGGACTTATCTTTGAACCCGGAACGATACACTGGATACAAAGGATCATCTGCACATAGAATATGGAGAAGCATATACCAGGAAAACTGTTTCCGTCCTAAATTGAATCCTTATGAGTCATTCCCATATGTTTTAAGTTCAGATTTGAGTAACATGTGTTTAGAAAAGAGAGTTTTCTATAGAGCTGTATCAGGGTTGCATACTAGTATAAATATCCATTTATGTTCCAAGTATTTACTATCAGAAAAGGCTGGCTTTGCTGCCCCACCTGATGGAGAGTGGGGACCGAATTTGGAGGAATTTCAGCGTCGTTTTGACCCCTCACAGACATTTGGTGAAGGCCCAAATTGGCTTAAAAACCTTTATTTTGTGTATTTGTTAGAAATGAGAGCTCTGGCAAAAGCTGGACCATACTTAGAGAGGGAAGAGTACTTCACTGGTAATCCCATTGAAGATGAAGAGACCCGGCATGCAATTCGTAATATGCTTGGAGTTATATACACATTCCCAGATCATTTCAATGAGTCATTAATGTTCAATGGTGGAAGTCAAGCAGCCACACTAAAAAATGAATTTCGTGAACACTTCTTGAATATTTCACGAATTATGGACTGTGTTGGGTGTGACAAATGTAAACTATGGGGCAAGCTGCAAACTCAAGGCCTAGGGACAGCTCTCAAGATCTTATTCTCAGGTAGATGGGATAGCCCCAGTGGTGATCCAGAGCAGGGCAAGTTGCCATTAAGACACAAGTCACAACGATTACAAAGAACTGAGATAGTTGCATTGTTTAATGCATTTGCCAGACTATCAAATAGTATAAGAGAATTGGAAAACTTCAGGATATTGCTCAGGTAAAAGTTAACAATATTTATTAGTTTTAATTGCATGTTAATGGGTGTATTAGTTACTTTAAAAGTTATGGAACAAATCTTAAAAATTATGAAATTAATTAATGTTTGAAAGATGCAACTTGTAAATGAGTAAAAAAAGTATTTTTGATGTTTAAAATCGCCTAAAGTTTTTACAGTTCCAGTCTTTCTTTTCTACAATACACATCTTTTTTACTGTTATACAAACTAAGGAATTCAATGGTAAAAAGTGTAATCAATTCCAAAAGATCAAATATTTTTTTTGTTAAATAGAATGAAATTTTTGAAATTTATATTTATAATTCCAGATGGTTTTTATTAAAATAAATCTTTATAATTTTTATTAACCAAAGCAACTAACTAACAACCAACAACACTTTTTGCAATGAGAAAATGTAAATGTGTTGTTGAGTAAGTACTACAACTAAACAAAACAATACATAGGTACTTTTGTACCTATTTGACTGTATTTATAAATATCTAATCTCCAATACAAATATATTTAAAAAACGGACAGGCTCATGTGCTCACAATTAATACAAATATTATTATATATATATATATGTACCTACTATGTGAGTTCGAATCCGTAACTATAAAGGAAAATCCGGAAGGTAAAGCATCATAAAAACATTTATCAAGATCTTGAAAGTTTTTAATTTTTATGAAGTTACGTAAGCTAGTCATAGTTGCATACATTATAAATTACATATGTATTCTTTAGACAAGATTTTTTTTGAACTGGTTTGTTGCATAATTTTTTATCATTTACGTTGCATGCATTATTTATGGTATAAAATATTAACATTAACACTCATATGTACGATTACTATTTCTATCATAATGGGACTTTCATTGTTTTATAAATATATTCAAGCCTGCATCGAGAATTAGATAATAGAGTATGTAGGCTAATTTTCTGTGACGCTATTATGAATTACTACGTGAAATACGTGATCGATAAGTATTTAATTCTTGACCGTCTTTTAAAATAGGATAAACCATGTGTTACTAGGTATATGGTATGATATAGTTATAAGAATTTAAATTGGTAGTTTTTGTATGACATATATACATACTATTTTCACAAATTCGTGTCTGTAGACACGATATATACGGACAGCTTAACTTCGATCATAGTTTCATTCTCGAATACTTCACCACTTCACGATTACCTTCAACGGTTGAATCGACTTCAACGTCTTTTTTTAAGACTATGAACATTATAACCGCTAAAAATTGGATTTCTTGCCGAAGAAACCGGAATAATTAAAAGATTATTTATCTATTTTCCTGTCCTTAACCCTCAATTCATATTCTTCTTACGCCGACTCTGACTCATTCAGTGCATACGTTTTCCTCAGGGGGAAAGAGATTGTCGGAAATGTGAACTTATGACTCCATCGGTAATTACCAGGTCAAATCGACCTCCATGCGGTACACCCTGAAAACCATGAAAATTCCTGGTACGATTCATTAGGTACATTGGCCTGGGGTCACGATTATAATTAGGTACATTGCTAGCAATGGGCTAAACACATTACGAATAATCCTTTTCTGCCTGAAACATTAGTTGCTACGCCCTATCCTATGGAATCACATTCCAACAATTGTACTTCCAAACTGATATAATGAAAGTTTCAAAGAGCTTATTCCTTCTTAAAAAAAAGTCGACAAAGCACTTGCGATGTACCTAGTACGGCGGCGGCGGTAATCAGTTACCATTAGGTGAGTCGCAAGCTCGTTTGTTTGCTATGTTATTAAAAAGATGAATTAGATCACATAGGACAATCGGCTGAACTTTATACGTAGGATCAAATGAAATCTAAAATTATTTTCAGGATTTAGTGCTTATAGGTATACATATACAATATTAAATATAATATCCAGTGTATTCAGCCTGCATACAGACGTGCAAAACATTATCAGGTTCATTCCGGACTCGTGCCCACTATGCCGTTCTATTCTAAAGAGAGCCTATTTGCCAATCGAACGGCGTCGTCGGCACGGTCCGTCCGACTCTTATCGGAAACGTACGAGGACCTTATGTGTGATGGCTCTATGCGTACAACTGAATACACCTTGAATGGCTTATCACATCTGATTAAACAAAAACCACAAACATGATAGTAGAGTATGTACGTGGTGAGCTTAGCGTCTGTTGCGTGGCCCTTGTTTATTTGTGCAGATCACCCATTACCATACGTAGTAGATAAATAAAACACAAACTCGCCGTGTTCGTGTTCGTGATTATAGTCTTTTGTTTTATTCCCCTTCCCCCCCCCTCCCCCCCTCCGTTACGTCTATTATTCATCGTCATCATCATCATCATCATCGTCATTAGCACCCGTTCATCCATTTAGTGATTTAACAAATAGAACAGATACAAACTTTCGCATTTATAATATTAAAATTGTAAATGCGAAAGTTTGTCCGTCTATTTGAAGCATAAGATATATTTTGAGGTGTAGGTATTTCGATTTGAGATATAGTCATTACGTGGAGTTCGTTTTTGGAGGCACGTACGTAGTTGTGAGTGGGCAGACACCTGTGATGTGAGTCAGCCTCCCGCCGCGGTCGACAGGGCAAGATGACGCAATTTATTTATATGTAATAATACCTAAAATATAAAAAAGCCTTGAATATGAACTATCCTGATATGGGAATGCCATTCTGAAAATGAAGCGTTTTAATTACGAAAACGAATAATTAATCGTCGTCGACACTTCAAATTTGGAATATTTATTTTTCCATTTTTGAAGACAGCTTTGTTATTATTATTAAATTTTCATGATGTTTTGTCTCTCGAAAAGGTCTTAAGAAAGGAATAATTAATGAATTCAAATTTAGAATACGTTGTGATACTTTAAATTTAGAATTTTTATTTTTCCATTTTGGAAGCCAGATTTGTAATTATTATTAAATTTTCATGATGTTTTGTGTCTAGGAAAGGTTTTAAGAAAGGAATTAATGAATTCAAATTTAGAATATGTTCTGACTCACATTTTTCGAATTTAGAATCTCCATTTTTCCATTTCTGAAGACAGACTTGTAATTATTATTAAATTGTCTTGATGTTTTGGGTTTTGGAATAACCAGAGTCGTTACGTAAAGTCATATTTGCCATCTATGCATTAAATATATTTGTAATATAACATATATTACAAATATATTGGGTACTGATATAATACTTCGATATATTTTTTTGTAAAATATCCATAATATACATATTCACACCCAGATCGATACAAACAATCATACTCATAAATATAAATGTTTGTACCGTGCGAGGAATCGAACCCGCGATCATCGGAAGTAAAGCGGTGTGCTAAACCGCTAGACCACTGAGGCCGTCAACATATACAGGTTATGCAGGTAAAGCCGCAAACAGAAGTAAATAAAGTTCTTTGTATGCGATATTTGAAGAGGCTATTATACCTGGTAGTTGATATGACGTCATTCTTATCTAACAAAGACCGATGTCTATAAATTAATTGAAATCTAGTAACTTGAAGTGCATATTATTTACTCGTTAATGATTAGTAATTGTGAATCATTATGTATCAAATAATGATTACATTTGTGACGGGGTAAAGCCGTATCTTTAATTGAATTAAGACCTATTTTTTTAATTGAGGTTTATTATTGATATTTGTATGTAAACTCAATTTAGTTTGTTTCAATTAAAAGGAATGGCGGCCTCATTAGCGCTATTATTTTTTAACTTAGCATTCTGGATTTAATGTGTAACAGCTCTTTCTTATTGATGATTGAGATTGGGTTATCAAATTCAAAAATGAATGTTTTTGAAATTTGGTAAGAAAAGTACTGTGGTCAGTTTCCTCTTAAAAATGTTAATTTATCTTGGGCTTAATAACTTCATTAGATTTGAGTGCAGTTAAGTAAAAACAAAGCCAAATCCTAATCAATATTGTTTTCTATAATGAATGAAAGCATATACAAACTAGATAAGCTCATACGCCCAAATAGATAGAGACGGTTAAAATTTGTATAGATTAGGGAACGCCTCTATTTTGATCTGTTGCAATATTCAATATATTGTTAAACGTAATGTTTAACATTATGAGCATATGTTGTGAAAAGAAGAATCTAGTCTCTAAAACTGGTTATTGGTAAGAGTTATTCTTTGATTCTAAGTTCGCTCTTATCCACATTATAGATTAGAAGAAAAAAATATTGATTTTCAACTATTTATATTTATTTAATTTAGCAGTGGTACACGTTTAATTATCATACAATGCATCTTTTTTCTCTATTTTTCTAGTCAACTTTTGTTTTTGCAAGTTTATTAGAAATTGTTCTATTTGGTACCTACTACTTTTTTACTTTCAAATTCTTTTCTTATTTGCTCTATCGTCTTTTGTCTATCTGCACTTTACACTATTTAACAGCATGATGTTGCACTATGGACTGTATGTTATTTATAATAAGGGCTCATTTTACTATAAGAATTATTTGTTATAATAATTATAAATGCGATATGTTATTTGTCTTTAGCAAAAATAATATTATAAAATTGTATTGGTTTATTTTTATAGTGCAAATCTGAGCCAATGTTTATGGTTGTTATTAAATTAGGGGATACTCATGTAGAATGTCATGAAACTATTATTCGTCATTGTAATTATAAATTTGTTATGTATGTTGAAGTCGTATTAATATCAGCTTCTTATTCATTAATTTCTGACGCATTTCTGCTATGCTAAAGCATTTAACAGCAGGGATGCAGTGTGCACTATGTTATTTTACACAGTTCATATTAAGTGCCAGTAATAATCAAGTAAAAACCCTATAAGAATCATAGAGACAGTCCTTTAAGATAAACAATACATCACTATTTATCATTGTAATTGTAAATTTAATTGTATGTGGAGATCGTTTTAATCATATTCAAACTTGCTTCTTGTCCGCACTTCTATTCTTCTCTCACAGCATGTATTGCACCGCGTAATGTCACAATTGCACCGTACATAGTATGATTTTGTACAATACAGTAGTGTTTGGTTGGAAGAATATCAAGCATAATAGAAAAGTAAGATGCACAAATCATCTCGACTTTAAAACCCTATCAACTATAAAATTTTCCAATTTGCTTCTTGTCTGCACTTGCTTACAACACCATATTGCACCGCACAATTCTAATGCAAAACAAATAATAATACAAAATGGTATATTTTTACACAGTGCAAACAAAGAGCCAGAGCCGAAGCACAATATATTTGGTGGAAAGGATATCCAGAACCCTAATAAAATGGGTAACCCCAAGAAAGAGCAATGTACGTCTGGCGGATCCCAACCAAGATTAGGAAGTTAAATGTGGACATAATTATTTAATGGTGTTGGCGTAAATTGGATATAATCTACGCTATATAGAAGAATATAAGATATACAGGGTGATTTTATATTTGAAATATTTAAAAAAACTTATCACAATTTGTTCAACGTTGTCAAGATAGCAATGAAGCTGAAGGCGTGTACGTGGTGTGAAGTTTGACACAGTCATAATATACCACTCAATTTCGCCGCATATATCTGATGTCATGAGCACATAGTGAAGAAGAAGAGCACATCATGAAGTTTTACAAGATCTCAAACATGTACCTACCATTTACGCCAACGTTAGAAATCATCACAAGACTTAATATTTATTGAAATCCAGTGAGTGTTGATTTAATTTATTATATAGTGCAAGGTAAAACTGAATATTATCGTAGAGAGTATTTAGCGTCATTATCACTGATAACATTTAATTTATGTTCATAATGTAGTAATACCTAATTTAATATGCTTACTTATTTAGTATCATTGTTAAATCTGAAGTTCTAATAAACTAAACATTACCTAACTAGTCAAAGTGTATGTATATATTGTTATTAATGAAAAGATTAGATTTTCTATCAATTTATTGTCTAATTTTTAGACATGTATGATTGTTATCTACGATAATGCAATTTTTAATTCCTAAAATTCATTACAAATCTTAAAGTAGAGGTAACGAAATAAATAACTAACTTTTTAATAAAACGGATTCAATAAATAAACTTATTAAACGGGTTAATCGAAAGACAGCTCCCTTTTACAATCATGGCGGCATTATACTTATATTAATTTATTAATAACATAAGGGATACATTTTTATTTTTTTATTACTGTACAGAAAATGTCACAGACAGGTAAAATTATTCTGCTGTCGATCAATTTTGATTTATAAATATTAATGTTAAAGGTAAACTATAAAATAACAATAGCCGGCTAAAATGATAAGATCTCGAGGTGAAATGTTTGTCATTGTTCGAAAATCAATAGTGTTATCTCTTTCACTGCACGACGAGCCCGCATTTATGTATTTACTGTTTAGTTATTACCTTTTATTTTGTTGAAGGTAAATTGTATATAATTGTACGCTACCGGTAGAGTTCAGCGTTTCAATAAATGTTACATAGTGGAATTAATTGTTGTTACAATGTTACAATTGTTCAATGCGACGCGGCGACGCTTTGTTTGATATTAAGGATGGATATGTCTCATTTATATTGTTACCCGGGTCTTTACACTAATAGTTATTGTAAATAAAGGTACTTGAGCTAAATAATTTTAATTACAAGAGATTTTCGAGTGAGCACGACGCTTCGACTAGGTTGCACTGGCCGTGGTCACGAGGCGACTGGAGTAACAGCAATGTTAATTTGGTAGGTGCTAACGGTTTTTCTACCCGTACCGTCACTAGATTGTCGAACGATAGTGATTACTTATTTATGTTAAAATCCGGTATACAATATAAATAATGTATATTAAGCGAAAGTTTAAATACTACTATTGATACGTATCTTTTCTTTGAAATTTATTAAGAGCTATTCAGCCGTTTAGTTGTGAAACACTAGTAACAGACAGACAGTTTTATAATAGTGGTATGGATTGCAATTTGTGCCTAACAATTGGAACAGCTTACCATCATTGGACATAGAACAATGTAACTGGTTGTGTAACATATGAACAAACGAACCGCTTATTGTACGCTATTGTGAAAAAATAAATATGTTGCGTCAATGCGTTTTTTATACACGATGTCGTGTAAGGAGTCTTTACATTTCACCTCTTTGTTTTATCATTTTTTTTACTTGCATTATTTAAAATTGAAAAACAAAAATTTAATACGCTATAGTTATCATAATTTACTTATAAAACATAGCGATAATTGCTCTATGTGTCTCTAACTCACTGTGATTCTATTTATAGTACGTTATTTAAATTATATTTTTTACAATCAATAAATCAGTTTCGAATTGGGTATATTGTATTCGATATTTAAAATTGAACATACAGTCAAATAATACTTTTTTTCTTCTTTTAGCTCCAAATATTACTTAAAATAATTTTAAATTCTTGTCTGCCAGTATGATAAATTGAAAACTGTAACAATTTAAAATTCAACCTCTATTGTGAATTGTTCAAGTTTGTCAACTTGTCAATATTTGGTTTTACCTTGCGCTAGTAGCATAGGTTCCTAAGTGTAAAATTCGTCTTAAAGGTACTTCATTTAAGAATCTAATGGCATAGCTATAATTAGATTACAGATATGACTTTTATCACTTATTGTATTCGAGACGGTAACAGCTCCTTTTTTATGCCTTTTAAGTTTTAGATAATACTTTTTTTTTGTGTATTTTACACCGAGGACATGTAAATACTTAGCGGGAGAGATTATTTGGTATTTTTTTATATAAATTATTAATAGCCGTGTGAGGTTGATATGAGAACGGATAAGGACGAAACAAGAGGATATGAATTGAATAAGCATCTTAGATTGTATAATGTCTAGGTCTGGAAAAACGCCCTAAAAACGGCCAACTATTCGTCAATTTAGCTGACGCGTTATTTTTAAACATTGTGCTATTATACTCATTATCGTGTGTAATACATGTAGCTCTAAGTATAGAGCTAGTTCAAGGTGAGATAGACGTAATGTATGTCCTAGTTATATAATTAAATAAATAATAACACGTTGTCTAGAAATTATATAATCGAAGAACATTGAAGGAAAGACATTGTGAGTTTTAGTTAAACTGTAAAATCTATTTAAAAATATCTGGATATGATAATTGAAATAATTGTATGATTACCACCTTATCAATTTGTACAAAATACAATTTTAATGCTGTATTATTTATTAAAGGAAAATACGTTCTGTATATTTTGATTAATACCTTGCATATATGCAATTTTAGTATTAATCGATTCGCTGCATACAAAACTAGATTTTAACGTTTGGTTTATACGATTTTTTTGTATTTATTCAACTGTTGAGGAAATCAGCTAGGTTTCTTAGCTGTTTCTTAACAGTTCTTATTCAAAATATTGTGCAATAACTCTTGCCTGAATTGTACAGAGACAAAATTATTTATTATTAATTTATGTTTTTATTTTTATAAGTTTTATAATATATTATAGTTTTTTCATACACAATACGTTTTTATTGTCGGTCGTTTATTTTTAGTTTCAAGGTGATTGCTATTGTCAAGAGCTTACATTTGAACTGAATGTATCTGGAATCGATCCAAGAAAACTCATTTGAATCTTATTAAAACTAGTTTAAAGTGGAAATTGGCAACTTGAGATGATTTGAGGACGGTCAGACTGTATCAGGGGTTATTACAATATCATATATATATATAGAATTATATTGTAAAAAAATATATAGATATAATTCTATATATATATATATATATAGATAGGGGTTATTACACCCTTGTTAATTGTCAGCTTCAGAAGCTGTTACGTCAATCTTTATTTTATGTGATATTTTGATTTGATCAATATGACCGTTTTTTTAAATGGATTAATAATATATATATAAATATTTATCATATTTTTTGTACATTTTGTATTTTGTCTATATGTTATCATATTTTTTATCCGTTAAGATGTTTCTCATTGACTTGCATCTGTGAACTATTCCATGAATAATTATTTGTTGTGTGAATTTTTTTACCGAGGAGCTAAATGTAACTTGTAAAATGTCGGCTTTGTAGGTACCACAGTCGCACTTATTTCAGCCGCCGAGCAGCTTGCTTTGTAAACTGTTTCAGTCGAAGGGTTGATCCTTCGACTGAAACAGTTTACAAAGCAAGTTGCTTGTAAAAGAGTAAAGTAGAGTAAGAGCAAGAGTGAGTGATTCTTTGACTGAAACAGTTTACAAAGCAAGCTGCTTGGCGAAGAAGTGAAGGAGTGAGATAAAACAGTGAAATTATAGGGTATCCAGTTACAGTACAGTATACAGTTACATTATAGTCCTTTATGCCTGAACATTAGCATAATAACGTCCATGGTGATATTCATGTAGGTATATAGCCGACAGTTACCAGTTACCATCATGTGAGTCAATTTTTTTTCATTCCATTTACATAAAAATATATACAAGAAGTCAATTATTATTATACCTCGGTAACATAAATATATAACGTACAATGTGTACAATTTGCGTTTTACTTATATATATAATGTATAAACGGGTCGTTTACAATTTTATTACGTGTATAATGATGAACTGCGCTCTTTCTTTTTAAAATTGTCACAAATGTATAAAATAAATTTTAAGTATTATTAGTTGTAAATACAACTTTGGAGTCACAAAACATAATATGTATATAAACATATACATAGTACATTGATTGGAAGTGCTAGTGTAAGGATGCTATGTAGAGTTGCCAATCGTTCAGTTTTTCGAGGATATGTCCTAGTTTTTGTAGTGTCCTGTGATGTCCTGAATAGATTTTATGAGCGTCCTAGGTTTTTGAATTTTAAAATCACGCGTCTTTTTATATACTAGTTTTCAACACGTATAATTTTAAGTGTGTTTATTTTAATTACTGGAATTTCATATCAACTGTTTTCACTACATTATTACAATGTAACTATTGCAAGTCTATTACTAGGTCTTGTTTTCTTAAACTGAATTGTCCTGGCTTTTCTAAATACAAATCCTGTTTTTTTTTCTTATATTTGGGTCTGGCAACCCTATCCTAATGCAATATGTTACATACTATGGTATACAATGATGTTTGTATCTGAGTTGTTATAAGCAAATGTTTGTAATGTAACAGCTCAGGTGGCTAGCTAAATGGAATTGTCACCGCAAATAAATGGTACTTGTTTTGTATACGTTGTTTGATTTTGTCATTGTCTTTCACGTTTCCTTCTAAACAGTTTATTATAGTTCGCGACAGGGAACGGTGGGAATTTAGTTCGCAGCTCTTTTGCGAACAGTAGTGTGTAGTTTCACTTTTGCGAACTTGTTGGCAGTAGTGGGCTGACCAATGTTTGGCCTGTGAAAGCAAGTTTTTCCCGCAAATATGTGTTATATTAGGTAAATTTTGTGTTTTATCAAACGAACTAAAGAGCGAAGCATCTGAGTACTAATTGACATAGTTCTTCTTAAAAGAAGAACTATGTCTCTAAAGAGAGCTGTTCAGAACTAATTCGTTTGCGAAATACACAAATATACATCTATTTTTTTAATGGAAGGCAGCGGAATGGTTCTCCCGTCTGCGATAACGGCTTATGCTAGCGGGGCACCAGTGGAAGATGAATAGATAAGTGTGATGGGATCAGGTAAGTCAGCCTATCGCGGAAAATTTACCAGAAACTTGAATAAATGATAAAATCCTTCAATCATTAGTGTATAGTCGTAGTAGCTTTTAACCCAAGGACGAAGGGCAAGTCAATTTTTCTTAGGCCGACACGCTGGTTTTTCAAAAGTTAACGCATAACATTTATTTATTTATATACGAAAATTGTAAGTCCAAGTAGCTTACTTTATAACACCTATTTAGGTTCAAGGCAGTGAAATTACAGCTTGAAAGGCATAACATCTTAGCCTTCCGGAATAGCGCATAAGTGATATCGGGTCACAAGATAATGCTGTAGGTGATGCCGTACTGCTGTTCATACAGATATATATGAGCGATGGTTGCCACTCACCATCAGGTGGTCCATCAGCTTGTGTTCTGATCCAGTTACATAATCAAGTATGTTTTTGTATAGTAAAGACTCCTAACTCTTTTTACTTTTTAAAGGTGTAGATAGATTAAACTATTGAATTTCATTTAGTAATTCTTCAATATTTGTTTTGTATATATAAATTTGTACAATTATAATAGCAATTGTTATTTGCTCAATGATTTTATATGTCCTTTTGTTTTAAACTGTTAGTTTCATATTCTATTTCTATAATTCTTGGTATTGCTACCGGTCTAGTTATTTTAAATTTAATTTACTTTTATTATGCGTTTATATTGGTTGTATTATCGTATCTTATCACAACACCAATTAACATGGCATTCGTTTTGATAAATTTCTAATTGATCTTTTATGGTATTGTTAAATTGATTCATTTTACTATCTGAATCATAAAAACTATTTATATATTTTATTAAGAATGTATACCACAATGTATGAATGTATGAACCACAATGACTATGCATTATGAGATATAAATGAAAGTCATGACATAATTATTTAATTTAATGAAAATCTTATGACTGTGTTTTATTTATATAATAATAATATTGAGTATCTGTTTTATTAAAATTTATTTACAATGGCACTCAGTTTTCTCAACCTGGGTCGATCTAGCATGAAGATAAATAATTGTTACATACACTATTTTGTTTTGTATACTATTTCAATAATGTTATATTGAACTTATTCCTGTGAGTACGGTGATGTGAAACTGGCTTCATGATGCCAGCAGTGTACGCTAGAGACGGCATAATCATAATGCTTTCTTCTCTTTCCCACATATACTACATGAATTAATACTTGTGTGTAGGTATATGAATATGTAATAGCTATTTATGTTAGTAGCAAGGGTATCAAACATAATATAGGCATGATTGTAATCCCCAAATTTGTATTTAGAACTAGTTTTAATTTATTGAATATTTAGATAAACATTTATACACACGGGATATATCACGTCATATAATACATGTATTTATTTATAATGTTTGTGTGTGTGTGAGTAAACATCTATGAAAACAGTTAAAAACTAGCTATTGTTAACAAAATAAAAACTAATGTACTAACGTGTGTTATATTTAACAATGTTTTTAATAAATTAAATGTCTAGTATTATTAATTAAGTGACAATATTAATTATTTTCAGATCTCAAGAAGATATTCCAGTATTTTTAACATGTGCGGAAAGGGTTACATGAAAATTGTAGAAAAAAATGAATATAGAACCAATATTTCTGCATGCTGGGCAGACAGAGGATTTTTTTATAATTGCCATATTAAAGATATATTTTTATTGCAGTTGCATTGCATTTATTTGTTATATTGCCAGGAATTTATTTAGTTATAGTTTACAATATCAATTTATTGATAGTTTACAATTTTGCGTTATAGATAATAAACTAATGAATTCATAATCTTACGGTAAAATATACACCTACACGCTTATTGTTTATTAAAATTTTAAAAGAAATTAGATACTATATATTTTCCCCTCCAATCGAGCTCTTGACCGATTTAAATGAATTAAAATCACGACTGCTTGAGCCGAGGTTCGAACCCCTAGCTTTGCCGTCGAGATGAAGTCGTGTTTCTCAGGCAGGAATTGGTTTTTAGCCGCTCCGTGTAGCCTTTCCGGGAGTTTGGAGAGCTACCAGCACTCGGCGCCAACTTCGTCCTGTGAAATGTCAGCTACGGCTTACGGCTACGGCGGCTTTAGAGTAGTTCGAAAAAAAAATCCACTGTTGATAAGATGGTGGCGTATTAGATACTACTCTGTGGAGAACTGCAATTTATTTCTACATTCCTGGTACTTTCCTGACTAAATGATATATAAAACAGTAAGGGAAAAGTCGCAGTAAAGGAGTTGAAGTAAGATATTACTATGCACATGTCTGGTGGAAAGAACATTACATTATTCCTCTGGAATGATATGCAACAGCGTATCACGGACTTTATTTGACGATCTGACGTCTGTGGTACTGTTTAAGTATGTAGGCACCTCGGTTATTGCATTAAAATAGAAATCTACACTAGGCGACAAAACATATGTAAGACATACATGTCACAATTATAAATTGTTACATTAAAATTTTGTGTCAACATATCAGATCAGTTCCAATATTCAGAGGGAAAGGAAATACAGTGTACGGAAACTGTAGGCTGTTGCAACTAGGCTGATGCAGATCGAGTTTTACTTTTACGTTAATTCGATAAAAACTTGTTTAAATAAAATCTGACTAGTGTGAAACTTGTGTGTGGCGTGTTCTATGGCCAAATGTTCATCGAGTTTAATTAGTTATTGTAGCACATTTAGTTAGAAATATTGTAGAGGCGTCGGGGACATACATCGTTAAGGTTGGTAGCCTTGCATGACTCCTTAGTCCTTATGATTGACTACGCAACACTTACGGATATGGGTACCACTGGTGTTACACACCGACGTGAAGTCCTTGATGTTGTTTATTATTTAGGCGTCGCGGTCTTTTGCCACTTCCCATCAGGCTGGCCATTAGTTTGTTATTCCAGTTACATAAAAAACTAAAGAGAGAAAAATGAAACAAAATTTGTATTGGGAACGGAATTGTTTATTGAACCCATCTGTAATAGTAGATAATTATACTGTTATTCTACACATTTTGTACTGCTGAAAGTACCTACCTATCTCATGTATTACTATGTCTTAGTTTAGAATGTACTAACAAAATGCACCCAATAATACATTTATAACTCTTCATTTTCAATTGTGCTCTAAATTTCAGCGGTAGTTACCAATCACAGTACCTTTGGATTCTACGATTATTAATAAATAGTTACAATGCTAGATTTTTATGAGAAATGATAGCATAAAAATGTTTCATTGATGAATGTCTATGTAACAAAATATTGTTCGCTCTATGATTGTTTCACATTTTAATATTACAGTTTTGTTTATTATTTATCCAAGAATTCACTTTGAAGTAGTGTATACAAACATTTTAAAACTTCATTAAAATTAAACGCTCGGATACACGCAGCAGTTTCTAATTGACAGACAGGAAAACGGGTTACAACGAATTCAATCGACAGATTCACAAAAATTATGTACAAGTCGATCTTACAGTAAAATATCCAGTCTTACTAATGATAGCAACAGTAGAAGCGTTATTGAAATTAATATTATGAATTCGGTTTTGGACGGATATAATTTATCATTTCGACGACAAGAAAGTGGATTTTACGACTAGTGTGTGTATCCGAACGCAGTTAAAAAGGGGTGTTTCTATTCAGCTTGTAATAAGACAAATACATGGGTATTATTAGCTTAAACTATGTTTATATTTTATATATCGTTCGTGCCGTCACTTCATAATATTCATTAATAATAAGTATAAATCTTCCTTTATTGTCTTCAATCATTACAGTTTAAAATAAGGTTGGGAACAAACATATTTAGACAATAAACATTAAAAAGTGTCGCAGCGTAACAAGTGGAGGCTAAATCGTGCGTCGAAAAATTGCTTTGGTTCCGGCATTATAATTATAATAGTTCACAATGTACGGTTAAGGTTCAGAACCGTTTCCAACCAACATTTGCAAAGTAATCCAAAAAGCTACTGTTTCGATCATAGTATAAGGTGCGAACAAATAATGCAAATCTAATTATTTATACGTTTAAGATAATGGCGCAAAATTCTTAGTCTGTTTGGACCACAATATGTCTACAAGTACTTATGATTAAAAGCGAAATTTGTACTTAATGAACCTAATTACAAACACATATTGACTTTCAACTTACTATTGTTAAAATTGACATTTATTTTTAATTGGAACTTGCATTATCTTTTCCACCGCGTACTTGTGATCTAGATTTACCTATGTGCCAATGAAGAAATATAAATGTCATATAACGTCTGATAGATCTAAAGATAACTCATATACATGGTTAACTGTACTAAACATAAGTAATCTATAACTAGATTTCTAAAGAGTAGGTAATTTAGTAAGAGAATTTATTTATTGAGAGCGAGATAGCAATGTTCAGCATCTTGTTTCGCCTCATACACGAAAAAAGAAAATAGTTTTTTTGGAAGTGTTTTAAGTCAGAGTGTAATTAACATAACATTTCTCCATTGTCACATACGTAATATACCTTAAAAATAGAGCATCGTTGCCTTACGAAATAATAGAAATTCATGATATGTACCAAAGTATACACAAACGATCGACACATCGCAAACGATACAATTCAATAAATAGCATTCAATGACGTCGTAATTATTATATACACTTAACATACTTTAGTACCCTTCGATTTAATGGATTTTTATAATGTTAATCGATTGTTATAGTTCATTATTCTTTATAATAATTAATAAGTGTAGTAACTAACTCGTTAATTATTCGTAATCGTCAATATTTACATAAGTACCTAGGTTATTATCAGTAAATAACAATCGTGCGATAAAATAGCGCGCTCTTCTTTTATTAATTCGTTACATGCGGAGTGAAAGAGACAACATTATTTTGTCGCATGACAGCTCCACTTAAGTTGTACAGACTCTGAAACAGAACTATCGTTCTAGACCCAACAGTAACGCTTCGTTCGGTTAGAAAGGAATCCATTTAAATGTATATGAAAATAAGTGGGACTTACAGTATATACAAAAATATCACATTACTTCGAGGCCGCAGCTTTCAATTACTTATTGAGTAGTTATTTCGTCTTCTTACCTAAGTTCTCAGTTATTGGTTCGAAGCGTAAGCTAGACATCGCATGAAGTAATCAACTCTATTTATATTGCTTCAAAAAGCAGATTCATTTGTAGGAAGCATTGTTCCAAGCGCAAATCACAATATCTGGATGTTTGCTTTAGCTATCATATTATCAGTGATTTTAAAAACCTGAACTTTAACAATAATTCATACAAAACAGCGCATCAATGCCCTTTCTGTATGTACTTCCTCTCACACCTACTAAAGAAATCTATGAAGAATTTATAAATCATTTATCCTATGTGCTTCGTTCATAGTTTGATTAGTTCAAAGTGAAAGGGCTACGACATCTACACGAGACAAATTTGAAAAGGATCAGATGCAACTTATTTATAACATTTCTCTTTCTACAAACGTTAACGTCTTAGTCATATTACAATTAAATAATACTTTTATACACGTATAAAACAGTACATATCTACCGGGAAGCGTTGACGTCTGTAGAATTAGAAAGACTTGTCACTTGTGTGCAGACACAGGTGCGGGACAGTTCCAGTAAGCTGCAGCCCTGCGGACCGTGCAGCCATCGTCGAGACAACGCCACACTAAATAAAACTATTTGGCTTACCGTCGATATACGGGCTACGCGAAAGCGAACACTACCGGCGGAGCGCGTGCGCTCCAATCGTCACTCACCATAACTATCACAAACGAGTGACATAGAAAAATATAATATTTGGGATCCGTTTATTGCTAATTTAGGTACAGTCTTTGGTGTTCTCGGGCGAGGATCCGCCGGAGAGGTCGTCTAGGAAGTCGAAAGTGGCGACGGCGGCGCGCTCTCGGTCGCCGTAGCGGACGAAGAAGCCCTCGCGGCCGAGGATGGAAGGCCGGCGGCCGCGCGGGAACCGCAACACGCCCAGCCCGCGGCTGCGCAGCGCGGCCGCTACGCAAACGCCACGTTAGTCACTACTGGCGACAGTGGCGGCCGCCGCCCTCTGGACGAGACAACAGCGTGAGCAGCCGCGCCCCCGCCCGCCCCACCCAGCCCCACCCAGCCCCACACGGCCCACGCACGGCCCCACCGCTCCACTGCTCTCAGGGCTGGCACCCACTTATCTTTGCTAATTATATTTACTGAACAGCAAACGGTTCCCATTTATTTTTAAAATTTAAGTTTGTGCCCATCATTGTTAAATTTCGCTTAAACTGTTTTACTAATACAAGAGTAAGATTTTAAAATAACTCCGTTATTTTTTCTCTCTAGCTTTTAAAGACAAGTGGGTGCGGAACCGCATATAGGAATAGATTGTTATTCTTAACTGTAATTCTATTAATATTAAATTAGATTTGATTATTACATTTGATTTTGTAAAAGAAATTTTGATTAGTTCCATCTATATGAGCCCTTCTACTAAAGGTACTTTCATTCGGGTCATTTAGATTTCACGTCAATAGAAAAGTATTAAGTAAGGACTATTTTTTTTTTATTGTATTAGTGCAACAAATGAGAGCCAAGTTTTGCGGAGCGGTGTTTTTTATTATTATGAAATCTACTCAAAATGAGACGAGAGAGCGAGATGGTGCGTGTGAGTGAGAGCGGAAACGAGTGACGTGGCTGAACGTGACGAGACAAACATGGCATGACACGGTGTTACATGACAGACATAGACAAATCCAGCGTTTAATGTACCAGTTCCAATAAGTACGTAACTATTAATTTTATGAAACAATTGCATCGATAGTTAAAAATGATTGCTGATTGATTCAAATTTAGAAATCCCAATACATTTAACGCTGAATGTACAGAAACAAAGCAAAATAAAGAAACAACATGTTTGTGCCCTCATACCACCGTCAAAACATCTTAAATTAGTTACAATTACAAAAGGCATTGTATGGATCGAAGCTAATACAAGTGTCTATGGCTACTACCAGCGTAATTTAGTATCTATTAAAATGAACATGATGTTACATTATGATGACAAATTGATTTCTTGATTAGGTGATATGAAGAAAGACCAAAATATTACCATGCACTACAATGCAAACAGAAATTCTTGTTATCTTTCAAATTATTTATTTATTACATTTGAATTGTTTTTACTGGCAATGCTTTGGTCCATAACAGCGTACAAATAGCTTACAAAAATTACAAAGAAATTGTGCAACACATAATTATAAAACATAATAATAGATTGTCTAGTCTAAAGTCATTAGGATCTTTCAATCCATTACACTTTAATAGATTGATATTTACATTGTGACTAGTAGAATTAAATAGCTGAACAGAACTTACCAGTTTTCTGTCTCCTAGATCTATGTAGACGGTGAAGCCTTGAGTAAGGGGGCGGTGGTTCCGCTGGAGAGGAACCGCAGGATGAAGGAGACGAATCACTTGATGCCAACATTACGTCCAGCAGGTTAGCACGTGCCTGGAACATTCAGCGATGTTTCTTGTGTATTAATTTTTCTTGACGATTAATAGCTCTGTTTTTTCCTGCAGGCTTTTAATACATTGCTATTATAACATGAAACTAGATTTCATGTTTTCGTACCACTGCTTGTGAAATGTATTGGTGTTGTTACATACATGTAATTTTTTTATCTTTAATAAATATATTTGTCCAAGCGTCGTAACTAATGTACGTAGTAAATATTAGTTAATGTTTCGTTTTATCAGTATATTTAGAATAAGAACTGGACAGAAAAATATATACAACACAAGATATACACAGTATTTTCTAATTATACATTAGCAGAAAATCTATTTACCTTAGGGTCGCTGAAATCAATATCCTTCTCGACATGTACCCATCCTGTCGGTGCCCATAGTGCACCGTCTTTATGAGCATGTGTTTTTTCCTTCCGATCTTCTGTCTTAACTCCACTCGTAGTCGAGGTATCATTTTGACGAATCATTCTATAATAAAATTAATCGTTATTGTATGTAATGTTACATGTAATAAATTATTTTTCATTCAAAAATATATAAAATTAATAAACGTACCTATTTAGTTCTTCTATAACGTCTTTAGAAGTTGCAGCTTCATGGAAACTTAGTGTATGATCCTGCTTCACAATAATTGGTTCAGGGGCTGGAGCGGCATTAGTAGTTCCTGGTTTAAACTTTTCTGCCACAGGTATTTTAGATCTAGTCCTATTTGGCGACAATGGAGGTCTTTTAGCTCCCATAAAAGTTGGTATGCGGCTCTTTTCATTTTTAAATTTAGCTTCTTTTTGAGTTGTATCATTCTTATTACTTACTATCACAGTTTCGGCAGTAGAAGTGCTTGTAGTATTCGATTCAGTCATTTGAGGAGAACTCGTTTCTGGCGACGAACTTTCTTCTTCTTCTAGAACAGTCACTAGAGCTCCTGTGCTTCTTCTGCAAGCACTTAATACTTCTTCGACTAGAGAAATCTCCGTTTCTCCACTAGGGAACGTGAAGCTTGATGATTTTGTTAAAGAAGTTTCAGTATTTACCCTTTCTGTTACCGGACTTTGCATATTTAACATTATATTCACAGTATTTTCTTTTAATGCTGAATTATGGTCTAGGTTTCGACTAGATTCATGATCACTTTTATCATCTTTCGTTTGCGTCACAGGCTCCTCATCAACTGAGTTACCTATATCTATGTTTTTATTTATTTCATTTTTCCTTTGAACCTTTAAAAAATAGTGATCATCTATTTCATTTTCTCCATTTTCTATTCTTGACAACCCATCGAAATAGTCCTCTGATTCTGCGTAAGGATCTTCTCGTTCTATAAATCTTGGAGTTGATCTTGTATCAGAAACAATATCACAATGTGCAATTTTTTGCCGTTCATTGTGAACATCGCAAGAGTCGTTCTCAGAAAAACTACCAAATGAATCGGGTCTTTGTCTGTCTTCAGATACTTCACTACGGGGACCAATAGAATCATCATCAAAATCAGCAGCTGCATACGGAGGCGGCAATTCACGTATTTCAGATACCGGTCGTGACGACATTGAGTCAGATTCTTCTCTATCGCGACAATATTTTTGTTGTTCCGCAATAAAATGAAGAACATTTTGAAGAGCTTGTTCACGATCCTGAAGTGCCATAGCTTGGACGTCATGAACTCTCAAATTATTTGTGACTGGTAGGATGTCTTGAGCTGATAAACCTCTTGATGAATTCGATGCTAAGCTTTTAGTGCTCTCGTATTTGACAAGACGATAAAAATCTCTCGTGAAGTCTACACCGATATTGGCACAATCACCGTCTTCACTCAATGCTGTACTAGATCTTTTATCAGGTGCATCAGAAGTACTAGACCAAGATCCACCCGGCGAGTGCGCTCCAGTACAGTCCCACCGTTTATCAGATGTTTCGGGATCATCACCAATTCTACATTCATCAATTTCTATAGTCGCAAATCCGCAATCATTCCAAAGGCAACCTTCATCTTCTTCTAATTCTAAAGCATCATCTTCTCTTATACTAGGTAACGTTGAAAGCGATATTTGACCCGGTGTTGTAATCTCAGCAAATGGCGATTGTCGGTCTCTGAGATCTTCACATGACAAAGATAAGCTCCAGTCTTCTAATTCTGCCCTATCATATTCCAAATCAGCTAGGTCACGATGTCTCTGCTGTAACGCAGATCTTGCGTCATCTAATTCTAGCCAATGTTGCACATAATCTGCATCATATTGCGAACCATCTGCTCGTTCATCTCCAGTACTTCCCCAGGATACTCTTTCGGAACTTGTAGTGGAAGCTATTGCAACTCGTCTTAATGGTCTTTCAGGTGCCGGTTTCAGATCTAGTACTAATACCCCCGAGCTGGGCGTGGGACTATCAAGACAGCTTGTTGGACATGTAGTTGATGCTACGAGTTTTAGGCAGAGATGGGAATCTGAGAAACTTCGTACGACATGTTGAAATGGCAAGACTGGACGTGACGGTGGATAGCTGCCTCTGACTCCTGCAAAAGCTACACCTATTGGAAAATAAATATAATCCGCATCTGTTGCTAAAAGTCGAGCATGTCGTCGAGATTCCCTAGGATTTATTGAAACAATGGTTTGATTATCAGTTTCGTCAGATGCTTCATTTAAATCTGGCAATGCTCTATCAGCAGCGTGATCACTCTGTCTTGAAGCATCTGCTTGAACATCACTAGACATAGTCGAGTATCCTTCATCCTTCGCACCACTTTCTGGAGATTCCGCACCAGCTTCACATTGCTCGCTACTTTCTTCTTCAGCTACTTTTTCACAATTGGTGCCTGAAAGAACAAATATATTATTATTTAGCATAGCAGTGCTCTTACACTAATTAATAACGAATGAAATAAACTTAATTCACCTTGAACTGGATCGATGCTAGGCTGCGGCATGCTGAGGCTTAGCGTTGCTGGTCTCGCAGGTGCAGCCCACAAAGTAGGATCTACCGCTGATAGTGCACGGGCTAAGTTAGCAGGAGTCACTTCCAGGCCCTGAAAATATTGTAGTCATGGAGTTTCATTAACTGAAATGTAAGTTATTTCACTACGGCATAGTTAAAATAATAAGTAGTCTCATTACAAATATTAGAGCGGCAGTTATTAGGTAATAGTTGTATCATGTACTGATAGCCGCTGAATTTTTGTGCAAAAAATATTCAATGTATGAATATAAAATATCATCTGTGTAAGAAATTTAATTCGTATATCCTGTTTTGCGTGGACAACATCCATTCTTTCGTCCTCACAAACTATCCCATTTATAATATTCGTAACATTACCTTAAGCTCAGTCCAAATATCAGAAAGGATTTGATGTCGTCGTTTGTCGTCTTGGCTCAGTGGGTGTGGATGCGGCGCAGGTGCTGCTGGAGGAGGGGAGTCCCGAAAGGAGACCAGAGAACCACAGGAACCGACGTCAACAAGATGCACTGAAATTATAATGTAGTTAAAAATTAATAATAATAAAGCATACTATAAAAAAAACTTACTAGAATGGTAAACAAGACGACTATACGACGCAGAACCATCGCTTATATATATGAACAGCACCGCGGACATCACATTACTATGTAACGATCTTTTGCATTGAAATTACAGAGACTTCATATATCGCGCCTCTGGTTTTTCACTGTCATATCACACTTCATCCGAAACAAAGCATACAAAGCGATTAGCTTGGAGGCTGAAGTAGGTGAGACAGAACTACCTACGAAGACAACTTTGTACAAACTTAATAAATCTAAAATAGCACCTAGAACCTTAATAGATGTCTCACCTTGCAAGTCTTTCGGTGTATGTGGTGTGTGTGGAGTAAGAGGCGTAGCAGGTGATGGCCGCGGCTGCGGTCGTAGCTGCCGCACCAGCAGCGCGCTCAGCGCTCGATTTTGTGCTTCAAGTTCGCGGACCCTCGCGCGGGCGCATCCCAACTCTTCACGTGCGCTCTGTAAAGAAACATGAACATTTTTAGTTATGATAATTAGGTATATGAGAAATATAATTTAAAGGTAATTTATATGTATTTATAAAGGAAAAGCTCTAGACATTTTAATGTAGACAGATTTTTTTTACTATATTGTGTTTAAAAAATCTAGCTAGGAAATCAAAACTTTGTAATTTTGCATTAGAAGCTAAGGCGGTACAATAGCGAATTTCATACATTGTAAAATTTAAAATAATCATCAGTTTAAAATCAACTATTGCTACTACCTTACAAGTCAACAGCAAACTTTGCGTGTTCAATGTTTGTTGTTATTTAGGGATAAAAACAATAAGCAGATTTTTTAAATATGTACAAGTACTGTAATTTCAATTTGTAACAAGTGCACTAGAAATGGATTCTAATCTACATAACTACTCTCCATTAATCTAATCTACACACTAAATTAATGTGGTTCAAGGCTTTACCACGCATGGTATTGTTAATTTTAAATATCTAGAGCGGGACTAAAGTTATAAAACAAACCTAGTTTTAATAAACGAATTACAATAACCTATTTATAATAGTTCAACTATTAACGTGAACTACTACTAAATTTTAACTTTCATAATCATCCAGGACAAACGATTATATAAGTATAGATATTAGAATCAACGCTTAAACTCAATGAAAAGTCATTAGAAGTAAGCACACTTCGGAATAAATCGGAGATACGCTAAAATTCAAATTAGGAAGTAACACAGCTGAAAAACTTCCCCTATTTGGATACAGCTCGTCAGTTGTCCTGAATATAGGCGTGTATATTTTAATTATGCTTCATTAGTTAAATTAAATTCGAGTGAGGTAATTGACGGGCCGTAATTACAAGGAGGGTGGGGAATAGGATATAGCAAGACATTGCTTTCAGTGTTGCCAACTTTTAGACATCACGGAGAATTTAGCCGGGACAGAATCCTGTTTATTAAAATATTTCCCAAAGTTTGAGTACGGAGCCCCGTTGTGTAAATAAAGTTGTTTAAGTATCTATATAATTAATTAGCTTCAGCGTAACTTTAAAACATTTTAACATGTGTATCAGGTATATCTATTATATATATCTAAAAAAATACGAGACACATTTAAAAGAACACGAAACTTTTTGTAAGCTTCTGTAATTAAGTGATTACAAATAAAACTTTTGGTACATAGAATTCTTATAATTATTTCATAATGTTAACAGATACGTTATTTATCTTACTATATACTTTATATGTACCTAATCTAAGCACAATTATAACCGTGAAAAATGTCAAAACAATATTGAACTAAAACTCGTTGATTGATATGTATCTTCAAAGACATTAAAGTCCAAAATAGCCTTTTCGTAAACACGTATTAAGAAAAATGAAGCTGATATTTTTACAACGGCTAGGGAAATGTTATCCATGTATATCATGTATCTTTTATTTAGAGCATATATATGTACTTTCACATCAATTAGCGTCATAAACGTTGCAGATATGATTGATGTTCATAATGAGGAAACAACGTAGACATGTGAAATAAGTATCTATAGTATATGTATGTGATTGTTACATTAACAAAAGGAGTAATTAGAGATATGGGCTGTCACCCTTATGATAGAAGACTGTTCACAAGATTATTGGTGTATTAATGTGTAATTTCGTGGAGCAAATTACGACACTTGATGTGTGCAGATGATTGTTAAAGACACATTCTGGTAATTATCATTATAATTTAATTGCAAACTGAGTTTCGTACGTGAATATGTGATGTGAATAGATATGTGATGTTCATATATAATAGCTACAATTAATTTATAATTGGGAAATGGGATGATATTAATATTAAGGTTTTTTTATATAAATTTCACAGCTCAATTGAAATATATTTATTAATCGAGCATAGCTGTAATTCCGCCATTTTTGCATGACCAATTGGCGGCAAAATTAAAACAATATGGCGGCCACTAGCGGACTGGATTTAAACACAAACATTCGCGTTATCGGCCAGATTATGCCAGATTACAGTGGTCCAGGGATACGGTAAAATTATTACGGTGCCAGCTAAGGCCGAAGTGTCCCATTTCACACGATTTATGCGCGAATGTAGCACCACATAATCCATAGGGCGCGGGTAACGGGACTGCCATAATTATGAGAAAACAATTTCCGGGATGCATCTTAGCTTCGACCGGATTAAGAGATACTGATAATTCGCGGTCCTCTGTAGATTTGTGTTGGTTTGTAAACTGTAAAGTTGGAATGAAAACATTTGTGGCTTTTTGTATGCCGATATTTCGTTGTATTCGTTATATAATATTTACAATCAAATCGAAGGCAATTTGTAAGTTTGCAATTCCAGATAGATATGTATAAGGGTTAGGTATATACATATACGTACTATTTGGACTGCTGCTGTTATGTTTCTAAGAATGAATTTAAATATTTTCACCTGCTCGATGACAGAATTAAAATTGCATATATCTTCCTGTGTACCTATATGATTTACCACCGAGTATGCCTACCTTCTGCGATAATAAGGCTCGTACGACTTGTTGCGCGACATCGTCAAGCCGTCGCTCGTGTTCCCCACCACCCAGACTGACTGACAGCGCCGTCAGTTGACCACGCAGCCGCTCGTTCTCCGCACTTAGAACTGACAGTTGGCTTTTGTAGTGAGCTGCTGACGCCTGCAAGAATATACAGCTTTCGTCATTATTCTGTATTTTAAAAATATATGTAAAAAAAAAACTATCCTGTCTATGCCTATCAGTTTATTTATATATCTCATGGTGATGATATACACTACGATGGCCTGAATGAGATCCTATTCTGTACAATCTCGGCAGGTATCCCGTAATAGGCAGGTACATCATTCCACGTTAATTTCTACTGAAAATACCTAGTAAATTTAATAGTATAATGTGACTATTGAGCTTCAATAATACTGACAGCGTGATCTTTGCTCATAAGCGACATAAAAGTGTTATTACATTGGAAGATGTATCTTTAAATATTAAATTGCCATTAATAATTAATAGTGAAGAAAATATCGACAAATTTAAAGCTGCTTGATGGAAGAGGCTCTCAGGCATGGTATTAAAAAAATATGAATGGGGCCTATCATTCGCACTCTTAATTAAGAGACCGCCTACTGTCGCTACGAAAAATAAACAAACCACAGTAACTTGATCTGCACGGTTTCCACCGTGTCGGCTTGAAAATACCGCGATAAGGTATCCGTTTTCAACGTTAGGGGTCTTGTAAAGTTTGATTGGAATAAGAGGCAGCAAATTTAAATGATCTGTGCTGTATAACGATTTGATCCTTATGACAAATTGTGATAAGGTCCATATCAGGTGTAAATTTAAAATTGTGCGTTGAGGATTTCATCAGTCATCAACTGGGGTGAGACACAAAGAGTATGAATTCGTTTGTGCTTCTGTCTGAAACAACACGCGGCTTGATACGGCATCAAAGGGTGCGATTTCGAATGTTTAGGTTACATTTCCATGTCTATTTTTAATGGAACACAATTTTGGGCTACTGCAATAGCTTTCGGCAATAGGCATATTTACATGACCATGTGAAAAAACAAGTCAAAGTAGTATATCGTTTCCCATTTATATTTCTTTATATCTCTTAGTTTTTAACGATCTGATGAAAATTTCCAGAACATTTATTTTCATTATTTAGAAAGAATACCATTTTTTATGTAATTGGAATGACAAACAAGCAGTTATTATCATCAACCCACCTGATTATGGGTAACCATCGCCTATATACATGCATAGTACTGACATCAAGTTATCACGTAATATCCGTGATATCACTCTTGCGTTGCCACTTCAGGAAACAAAGATGTCATGAAATAAAATATAACCTTATCCTCTTATCCTGTAATTTCACTATTAATGCCAGTTTATATTTTTATCTTTTGCGTGTGAACCATTAATTAAAAATGGTAAACAATAATCGTAACCTAAACACAATCTATGTGACATTGACAAGTTATTGCGGGAGTTTTGGAGCGAAAGTGTTGATATTATTATAAAAACAAATAAGAGATAGATAATTGTGAATATAGATGAGACTGTCTATTAATGAAATAAAAATATAACTGTAAGGTAATTCTGACTAGAAGTTGTGGTAAGTGAATTTACGTTAATAACACGCATTTATTTGTTTTATTTAAATTTTTATAACTTGTTCGTGTTTTGATACAAAGATAACAAACTTTCGTCTATTGTTATGTTAAATGAGAGTATGATAGGATATTTAACTACCATGTAGACATACATATGAAAACATACCATGTTATACATATAAACAGTGTAATGGTAGTGCTTTTTGTTAATTCACAGTAAATTAGTCAAACTTACTGTTCAGTTTTGTGTGTTTGTTCGCGGAATTGAATTGAAGAATTGTTATTATTTTTTACAACATATATGTTTGATGATTCCATTTCAGATAAATGACAATCACAGGAGTTATATGTCTTGAATAAAAATAATTTAATAAAGCATATTAAGATAGACACAGTATATGACATAAACTGATCCAGCAACATAACATGTTATATTTCATAATATTAGAATTAAAGACATTTTAGATGCTATCTCATGATTAGCTGTCAACAGTACTTCTCTGATAGTACAATTATTATAAATTTGAATTTTATATATATCAATTAACAATTGGTAGTAAACTCCAATGTTAAAAAAACCTAATAACTGTAAACTATTATTATTAATAGTTCCTTATTTAATCATTATTTATATAAAATCCAATGAGCATTTTATTAGGATCCTCATGATATTGATGTGTTGAAAAAGCTAGAAATGATAAATTCCTCAAAGGTGTCATAAGAATTATATATGTTTATGCTCAATGTTTGAGCAATTTGCTTCTCTTGAAATTCATTGAATCCGCGCCATTGTTGATCAATAAAGGTACTTCCTCAGCTATTTCGTTTAGTTAATTTAATTTGGAATTTATAAGCACCAATTATATTTTGTATTTACAGGTAAACTATTCGCAGATGTTGTACGAGTTGTCTTTTAACCTAAAGAAAAGCTTTTGGTAACTCAGAAATAATGTTATTGGCTCTTGATTGTATTATTGATGTACAAGAAACCTGTTGAATTGCTTTTTGAGCAACAAGCTTGTCTTTCAATTTACTATTAGTGTTATGAATATGAATAAAAGTTTTTGGAAATAAGATATTTGTGTACATACAGAATGTTTGATATATATTAAAGTGAGAGTCAAATCCCAGTAAATTGCACACATTTATTCCGCGTTATCACAATAATGAAAATTTTAGTTAATATCTTGTGTTACATAACTTTGTTATTCTTATATTAGTGTCATTTGTAGAATGACAGTACTAAGAAACTATAAAGTGGACAGATTCATTTTTAAATATGTATTGGAATTGAAATGTGAACCAAGGAGGAAATCATTGTTTAAATTCAAATTGTATTATATATTTGTGAAGTACAGATAATAAAAAAAAAAAAAAAACAAGTAGAATTATTATTGAATATTAATATAAATAAATGTATATCAGAAGCTAATTTAAAGGATTATTTATCTTTTTGGATTTTCAAACAATAGAATTGTGAAATATTGCAACACGAAGATTAGATTAAGAGATGGGACGTAGACTACATGTAAACTATACTATTTTTAAATGGTTTATGTAACTTACCTTCTATGTATGTAGACTACAGGATTATAAAATATTATGATTTACTAAAAGTTCTGTAATTAATTAGTTATTATTAAATAGTCTCGGCAATGTTAAGAAAAATAATTTTAAAAATTATTATTTACATTGTTAGGAAAGTAAAAGAGATTGATTTTAGAACATCAACTTTGTTCAATCAACGGCTAAAATGAATACATAAGAGTTTTGTTTTTTTTTATATTTCGATTTTAGAACTTCGTCTTTGTTTTGTTGACAGGAATATATAAGTAAAAAAAAAAAATAGAATAGGAAAAATCCTCAATATCTTGTGAACACAAGTTAATCACTGCAAATGTCAATGCTACGTATCCGTTGGGATGGGCTCAGTATAATTTATAGAAGATAACATATACGAATGACATTCTAGTACTATTTAACATTTAAATAGGTACGAGATTTTATAATGAAATTTAAGCCATATATATATATATATTAGACAGACAAAAGAAGTAGAACAGCAGAAAAAAAAGACAGATGACATAAGAAAAAAAGGAAACGCGCGTGTCATAGAGAGAGAATGGAACGTTAGGAATTTTCTCTTTAATGACATGGATAATAAACTACTTTATGAATAGCATATATGTAGAATGAAAAATAAATACTATTCAAACTTTACATGTTTAGACATCCACGTTCTTTAATTATACAAACTTAGACATAGTTAAAAGAAAAACAAAAACAAAAGGACAATTGGGATCATAGACAAAATGTTAACTGTTTTAAGTTTACCAAATAAAATGAGAGAAATTAAAGTTATATCTGTCAATTTAATCCCAGGAATATATTTATATATATATATATATAAGGTTGCAATAGATTGCCTGGGGGTTTTGCCAATTTTATTAATTTCTAGGGGATTGTTGTTATAATCGAAGCGTATAATGCTAAATTGGACTAATGATATTATTGTTAGCAATGTACCATTGTCACTTTTGACATAAGGTTGAAGACCTAAGGCTTTTAATAGTAAACTCATCAACATATAAGAATTGATGTTGTCCCTTGCATAGCATACGAGAACATCTTGATAAATCTTGGTGAATTTATCACGATAAGATTGAATTAAATTTAAAAGCGTTGTCTTTGGGCTAAAATTTTTATAAGTAATGATCAATGCTCATCATTTGATTCATCACCCTCCACGGTGCCGGATTGACTATTGTACTAACTAAAGCATTGAAACCGTTAGCGCAGTGCTAATTTATAGGACACCGTATACAGACCATTCTCATAGTTATCATCCGAAAAAAAAACCAACCATACGGTTATATATATGATACAATGATGAGTTACAATCGATGACAAGCTGGATTTCTGAGTAACATAAATAAAAGGGCGGTTGATATGACAATGAAAAATGATTTGCAATACTATAATTATGAAAATTAAAAGTACTTGACCACAGATACCGCCAGTTGAAAATACAACGAACGACTCGCTTTTTGTTTACTCAAGAAGATTAATGACATCGATATATATCAACTGCACTTATGAATATTGTTATTCAACTTCAAGATTAAAGCAAAAATGTTCATATAACATAGTTGAGTCAGCACTTCAAGTAAAAATATCAAAGCATAAAGAATAATGTTCATTGTGAATTCATTGAGAAAATGACCAGTTGACAACGTTGCCCTTTCAGCGATGTGATTACATTTGTGGGAATAATAAGAATTGACCAGTTTGAACCGCGCAATGTGACCATTAATCATGGCCTGCATTTTTTTAATGTTTTGTGTAGCTACATCATTAGCTTTGTTCGGTCACGCGTCACAAATGTTGGGGACTGAATTCATGATGTTGAAATGTAATGGTAGTTGTTGGCAACTTTCATATTTTAAGTATGTAAAGTATCTCAAACTAAATTTTTATGTATCGACTGTTTTCGAATGAGGCCCCGATAACGTGGATGAGCTAATATGTTCTTTTTTAATCTCA